ACACCTCACGCCCAATAAGTTGGTACTGTGGTAACCAAAAATGAACTTCATTAATGTTGTTAAGTATATTGAATTTATGGATTAAATCTCCTCGTAAACGACGTTATTTGAGGTTGGTGCTGATAGATGATATTATCTCAGTTACGCAGTCTTAAACATAGCAACTTAATATTTATTTCAAGAAACGGAGACCATGATGGGTTTGACTTTATGTAGATTGAGCGCCACAAATTTTTTTACTGTAGAAAGCATTTTTTGGTTATATTAACATATAATTGGCTTTGGATCAAGAAAATATACTAAACAAAAAATCTGAATTTGTTTTCAAAATGCAGAAATGAAACTGAGTATCTTTAGAAAAATTATAAAAACAAATGTCCAAACTAAAATTATTCTAACCCAAAAAAATTATTTTATTAAAACCAATTTTTCGAAAAATAATGTAGCTAATGTAGTTTTTTGGTTTCAACATAACTACAGTTTTTATAAAATTAATTATAACGAATCCCGATTTCCCTGTGAAATATTTTTTCTATAATTTGAATTTTTTGATATTTAGACATTCTTTCTGATGAACCTGCTGAAGCCGAAATTTAGATAAGTGTTTTTACTAGTTTACATATATATATATATATATATATATATATATATATATATATATATATATATATATATATATATATATATATATATATATATATATATATATATATATATATATATATATATATATATATATATATATATATATATATATATATATATATATATATATATATATATATATATATATATATATATATATATATATATATATATATATATATATATATATATATATATATATATATATATATATATATATATATATATATATATATATATATATATGAGTATATATATATATATATATATATATATATATATATATATATATGTATATATATATATATATATATATATATGTATATATATATATATATATATATATATATATATATATATATATATATATATATATATATATATATATATATATATATATATACATATAGATATATATCTTTTAAAGAATTTTATATTTCTAGATTAAAACGGCTGGTTTTTTCAAAGAGTTTTAATATGTTTGTCAAATCAATTCTCTCTGTTTCATTTAAACAAGATTATTTATATAAAATTATAAAATTATTAGTTAACTTAAACTTTATCATTATTTTTTATCCAAAAGTATTACAAAACTTTAATTTTATTTGCCCAATTCTAAAATCTACAATAACCCATCAAAAAGCAATATCTCACAACATACATACATATCAACTACCAAATGGAACATAACATACCAACCACCAAATGGAAGTGTAAACAATTTTAAAAATCACTTAAACAAGTAATTTAAAACCGCATATAGAAAAAAAAAGGACATCACATTTTAATTTTTTGGAAATTATAATGTGGATTTTTTGAAGTATGGTAATTATAAAAAAGAAAAAAAATTGTTTAAACTAAAGTTGTCTACTTTAAATTAGAATTTCGTTTTTCTTGAGACTTGTGTTAACAACAACCGTAGTATTATTCTGGAGAAAATTTTAAATTTGTAAGTTAAGTTTTTTCCTGAAAAGCAAAAAAGCCTCGTTGAAATTAAAACGCTTCTTTATACTTACTTTTCTAAAATCCTCTTAAAATCATCGAAAACAAAAACTCTATATGCGTTGAATTTAATCAAAGAAAGGTTGTGACAAGCATAATAATTTAGACCATAAACTTCTATTTAAAAGAACTAAAAAAATTAGCCATTCTAAAATTTTCAAAAATCTTAGAGCGTATTATGTACAATTGACTGTTGGTATTTTTGAAGGCAAACAAAATTACGTTCTAAAAGTCTTTTACACGTCTTCTAAATTTTTTTTAAGTTCTTTCTGTGAAGAATTTTCGAACATAACTTTTAAAAACAAAGACGGTTGAAATGGTAAACGATCAGATCATAATTATTATGAATGAACAGATTATAAATATTATGGAACATCATAAATATTATGAAATATTACAAGAATACAGGGCCGGCGATAGGGGAGTGCATGGGGGGGGAGGAACCCCTCCCCCTCAAACACTAAATCTTAGTCGGCACAAACAAGGCCACAAAAGTCAGTCGGCAAAAGTCGATATGCAGTCGGTAAATTTTAAAAATCGAGGACCTTTTTTTTTTTTAAGTCGGCAAAAGTTGTAATGGGACCCCCCTCCCTCTTCCACCCCTATGTGACACCTACTCACGTTGGCCCTGCAAGAATATCATAAATAATTTTCTAGTTACTTAACTTTTAACTTTTTTTCATGTTTGCATTTTATAAAAATTGTACTACTGTTGGTTTTGTTTAAAATTGTACTTGAAAGCTTTAGAACTTAATTTTATGTTCTACCTTTTTTACCTAATTTACGTTAAATTGCCATTTTAAAACAATAATCAGTGACATGATGGGTTAACGGGAATTTAATACATCCATATATTAAGCCATGCGATTTTTTTTTTACTTTTTTTATTAATTAAAACATTTCAAAATTAAAAAAAATTTAAACACGTAAACTTTTTTTAAAATTAAAAATTTTAAAGGTTTTTTGAGTTAAAATAGTTTTTATTATATTTAAATTATAGTTTATTATAAAGTTTTTTTGTTTATTTATTTATATTGTTTTTAAACAACTAATCTGATCGAAAAAGTCGTTAATTTTATTTATAAAATTTTATTTTTATAATTTTATTTATAAAATCTAAATTTGAAACAATATGCAATAGTTTAATTATCCTTATTTGATAGTTTGGTCACTGCATTATCAAACATATCATAAGAACAACATCAGAAACCACTTTGACTAAACTCTAAAATAGTGTTACACCTCAGATTTAAAAGCTCTTTACAAAAAAAAAGCATTTTTGCAAAGTACCCAATGGGCATTTCGACGTCGAACGAACGTCGAGCGACGTCGGATCTCTACGTCGGATCGACGTTGGGTTTACGTTGGAAATGGAAATGTTATTTGACGTCGGTTAAACTGACATCGCGCGACGTCGGCATTCCGATGTAAATCCAACGTGTTTTTTGAAAACTAAAAAACGTTGCCTTCGGCAGGAATCGAACCTCGGTCTATTAAACACTAAATCCTACGCGCTTACCACTACACCACAGGGATAAAATATTTATGTGTTTATTTAGTAATTTATACTTGTAGCTATTTGGGAATTATTACTTTGATAAGAAATAATTTTGTTTAAATATAATATAAATATTAAAACGAATAGTTATATATTATAAAAAATGTATACTCGAAAATGTTAATAGTTAAAAAACTATGCTAGTGCATCATACAAAACCTCGTGATGTTTTATCAACCATTATTCAAACTTCTTTCCATTAATAAAAAATACGCTTAGTTTACATATTTATTGAAGAGCGCAATTGCACACATATTGTTGGGTTTGGATTAAATTTTCATCAGCGATGTCTTACGACGTTGTTCCGACGTTGTTTTAAGGACGTTAAATTGACGTCGGAAGACGTCAAAAGACATCGGAGTACGTTAATATTATGACGTTGCCCGACGTCTTTTTATTGACGTTGGATCGATGTCAGTACTGCGACGTTTTTTGGACGTCTTTTATAAGATGTCGGAACAACGTCATGTTAAAATAAAGACATCGCCCGACGTCATTTTACTGACATCGGAACAACGTCGGAATAGGTCTTTTGACATCGCTGATGAAAATCGTACGTAAATCCGACGTCGGATTGACGTCGGGTGCCCACTGGGTATATAAAAAAACACTTTTTACAAACAAAATCTTGAACGAATAAATCACTAGAATTTTATAAAAAAAGATTTTTTTATTAAAATAAACTGTACACAATGAAACAATATTCAAAAATTAGAAACATATATTTGACATGTATTTCTGTGTCCCGGCAACGTCAGCTCCTGTCAAGCGTCTCTTTTGTCAGAGTGGATTGATAATGCGCCCTAATAGAGCTCGTATGCCTAGTTGGTTGTTTGATGCTTTGATGTTTCTTAAACGTAACAAAGAATTATATGCTATATAGTGGTAGTTAATGCTTTTGACATGTAGTTAATGGTAATAGTTAATATCAGCATATTTTTAATTAAAAGACGTTAATATTAGTTGTTCGCATTAGGCACAAAAATACATAAAAATGAATGATTAAAAGTTTTATTTTTTTATTTTTATGTATTTTTGTTTTGGCTTTCTTTCTTCAAATATATTTTCTTACTGACTTCGTCAAATTCTGCACATAACCTTAATTTTACATATGGTTTTATTGTCACAGCACTTGCTACCTGCAGTTTTGTTAACAATTAGTCTTAACGTAAGGTTAAGTTTTAAGTCTTGGGTTTCGAAAATGTTTTCGTTGGCCTTGGCCTTGAAACTATTGTCCTTACCTTTAAAATTCTAGGCCTTGGTCTTGAAATTCTCAGCCTTGTCCTTGGCCTTGGTCTTGGCCTTGGTCTTGGCCTTGGTCTTGGCCTTGGTCTTGGCCTTGGTCTTGGTCTTGGCCTTGGTCTTGTTCTAGGCTTGAAATATGTGGCCTAAGCCGTGCTATTTTTGGTCTTGTTAACAACTCTGGTGTTAATGAAGATTCGATGCTTAATTCTTTTTCAATAATACACTTTTTTTTACCCAAAGTTACTGATGATGAGATTTTTTCTTCTTCAAGTTCTCTTGTCTGGCAATTATTGCATACATAAAAGTGTATTTTTTTATTTGTATTTTTAAATTTTTTGAAATTAATTACTTGATATAAATAAATAAAACAAAAATAAATAATAATTCACTAAAGATGATATAGAACAAAGTTTTTGTATATTAAACATTGTCCCTGATAAGTTTGTAAGTTAATACTTTATGTTGTTATAGTCATTTTGAACTTTTTTTGGATGCCGGTTTTTTATCTTTACTTATTTTGATTTATACTTTTCTATGAAAATGTTTTTAGGAAAAAAATACGATGGTGAACAAAGATTTAATTTGTCAATTACAATATCGGGATTCTGCAAAGTATCCAAATAATTACTTTTTAATTGCAAGTCATGCAGTTAATATTGCCTTTACACTACTTTTTAATGTTGCATTAGTTTTGGGATTATATTTTACAACAAGAAAAAAAAAATACTCCCGAAACGAAAAGCTTGTAATAGTTTTATCGATTGCTGATATAACAAATACTTTGGTAGTTTCAACATCTCAAATGGTATTGCTTAAACGTCTTGAGTACTTTGGATGTTTAGAGATCTCAACAATATTATTTTTTCGCGTTTGGTTTCTAGGTGTAACTTGCTCGATTTTTGTAATGATATCATGGGAAAGGTTTTTTACTGTTCTGTATAACAACAAAATTTGTGGGATTACTATTAATGATGCACATTCGATTGGATACTTTGTCTTAGTTATTTTTTTCTCCTTTTTAGCTGGAATTTGTTATGGATTCATCTATGCTTCTTCAAACATGTATCTACAGTTTTTACTATACATTGGAACTGGTTGCTTTACTTTGGTTTTACTTTTAATGATTGTTGTTGCAAACATTTCAACACTAAATGGAATTAAGAAAAAATTAAAACACAGTTCTCTTGAAGTTCAGAGAAACGCGGCACTTGAAAGTCGTATCACAAAAACGGTAGTCATAACTTCTCTTGCTCATGTGTTGTTTTTTTGTCCTTGCATTGCGGCCCAGTACTACATGTCGTTTATATTTTCAAAAGATGATATTTATATAATTCCTCCTGCTTTGAAGATACTTATATGGACACTAGTAATCAGGAAAACAAGTTCTTGGATAAATGCAATTATTTATACCTTAAGAAACAGAAAACTTTCCAGATTTTATTATGCAAGAATAAACTATATATTTGGAAATAGAAGCGTTAAAACTGTTCCGGTTAAATTCACTCGTTGAATAAAGTTAAACTACGATATTATCAAAATAAATTTGTATACTAAAATGTTCTGCACTATAACTATGCATTACTTTAAAACTATGAAATTTTTTACCTACCGAAATCACATACCTACCGAGAGGAGTGCTGAACTAATGATCTTGTCTGGGTAGTAACTGTTACTCGTTTTGCTTTAAATTTTTAATGCGTTTATGCTTATCTGCAATTTTGTACAGTTAACTTTGTATCAGCTTATTCTTTTAAGATTAGGATAAAAAATTATGAAAACATTTGAAAGCATTCTTTCATATATATAATAAAAAAAAGTTAAATAATTTTATACTAGTTTCATTTTACTCAGATATTCCTATGGTTTTTACAATATATATGTTTTTATTATATATGCTATATATATATATATATATATATATATATATATATATATATATATATATATATATATATACATATATATATACATATATATATATATATATATATATATATATATATATATATATATATATATATATATATATATATATATATATATATATATATATATATATATATATATATATATATATATATATATATATATATATATATATATATATATATATATATACCCATATAGTGTAGTCGAAAGAGCGTTTTAATGTAAAAAAAGTCTCTTACGACTACAATTTTAATTACCTCGTCTCTTAAGCTGTTTTTGATTGTCATCGAAATGTCAAAGCAATTAATTTATGCGGAAGTACATTAAATTTAATTGTTTTTTAAAAAATTTTTAAAAAACCGCCTAGAAAGTTTTTTTTAATTAGTGGTGTTTTTGTTATTGATTTAATAAAAAACATTTTTAAAACATGCGTAAATGTTGCTACATCGACTATCTTATAGCCTGACTCGCAACGGAGTGCTGCTACATCGACTGACAAATAGCCTGACTCTCAACGGAGTGCTGCTACATCGACTGACAAATAGCCTGACTCGCAAGGGAGTGCTGCTACAACAACTGACAAATAGCCTGACTCGCAAAAGAGTGCTGCTACATCGACTGAGGGTTTGGTTTGGCCAGGCAGTCTATCAATTAAAAAAAAAAATTTAATTTTTAAAACTTTTTCTGGTCTGGTTTATTAACGCGCTCTTTAAAACTACAGTTTATGGGAAACTTTTATATATATATATTTTATATATATATATATATATATATATATATATATATATATATATATATATATATATATATATATATATATATATATATATATATATATATATATATATATATATATATATATATATATATATATATATATATATATATATATATATATATATATATATATATATATATATATATATATATATATATATATATATATATATATATATACTTGTGCAATTTCAAAAGCAATCTATTTGGATCTCCTTAAAGCAATGAAAAATAAAGATTTTTTGCGTAAAGTAAAAAAGAAATGATTGCAAAACGAAGCATGCTGACACTCATAGTTATCTACAATGCCAAAACATTTTTAAAAAATTGCAAGGTGAATCCGTCAATATCTTGCAAATTAACGAATAAATTCGTGAAGTAAACTCAAAAAGGAATTCAATTTAACAAGAATTTCATAGTGAGGGAGGTATATTTGAAAGAATGGTGCGTTTAGTAAAAATATCATTACATAAAGCAACTGGAAGGATTCGTCTGAATTTCCAAAAGCTTAAAGAAGTTTTGATTGACTTAGAAAATACATTGAATAATTGACCATTAGGATACATTGAAAACGATAATCAACTTCCCAGATAAACTTTAAACATAATCCTATATTACAATTCCCTTCGAAAAAACAGAAAATGGAAATAATCAAGACTTCAACAACAATACGACGATACAAACAATTAGGTATACCACAAAATGTAAATACTTAGCAGGACAAATGAGTACCTTAAACCATTATGTGAAAATCAAAAACACAAAGGCTATAATCAAATTGACATATCAGTGGGAGAGATTTTTTGACTTAACGGAGAAGAAAAGAATGAAGACGAGTGGGAAATTGTCATGGTTACAAAAATTATACGCGGTGATGATAATATAATTCTTGGTGCTATATTGTGGCGCAAGGTTGTTTAGTTTTTATTACGATAATTAATACGATATTAAGATGACAACTTTTAGTTTAAAGTTCTTCAAGCTATAAACTGTCAGCGTCTCACTTCAATTAGAAAACATTTCCTTAAATAATGATATGAAGCTTACGAAAACTCGTATCAAGAACCTCATCAGACATAGTTCCTATGGCTCTCAGAATCTAATAGTAGGTCAAATGAAAAGAATAAATTGAACCATCTAGCCCGAAAAAGAAATTAAAATCTTTAGCGCAAATCTATGTGAACGATGAATTGAAACTTATTGGAGAAGTTCGTCATCTGAATGTAAAATAGCTGTTACACTTTAGGCTTACAGTTACTTGTAATATATGTAAGTTCAAGCAGTAAATTTCAGGTACTTGTCTGATTCTGAATATTTTTAAATTCATTTATTTTTGTTTAGTTTTTTTTTTAATAGTAATCTACTACTAAAATTGGTTCGCTCAGACCTGTAGGAATAAATTTAGTTAAAAAAAATTATTTTATTGTTTGGATTGGTAATAAAACTTTTTTGGACTAATTCAATGGGGTGCGCCATAAAAATTTTGACCCCAGGCGTCATAATAAGTTGCGGCGGTCCTGTATATATATATATATATATATATATATATATATATATATATATATATATATATATATATATATATATATATATATATATATATATATATATATATATATATATATATATGCGTTTCCACTTACAAAACAAGATTTATTCATTTATTTAAAGTAAACCTTCAAAGTCGCAGTTGGCAGCTTATAAAGTCAAAATAATGTTAGCTTAATGTATACTTGAATAAAAATAAAAAGAATTAGTACACACTAAAACAGTTTTAAACTTTGCAACTTCCGGGCCAAAATCGATACCCCCAATATCGCCAGTGGTGTTCAGCCTTACTCAGGCATAAAGCCAATTTTCTATCGCAATTGCAGGTACGGTGTTTGCATTTATCAACAGACTTCACTGAAATAAAATAGTATAAAGTTATCAAAAGTTACAACTTCAGCCAGTTCACATGATTTGAAACTCATTTTTCCTTTTTTTTTATGCACTATTAAACATGTTTTTAGGTAATAATATTTCCATTTAGTTAGGTAAATAAAATTCTTTTTTTATCAAATATATATAATGATCATTCAAAAAATATGTATAAAAAAGTAATTCGATACATCAAAAAGCTCACCACAAGTTCCGTTTAAATATTTGTACTGAACCAAATATGGATTGCAACTTCCTTTAGCAAGTATTGCATCGTAACAAAAATCGTGACTTCGGCAGCATTTGTCAGATTCGTCAACCGGAGTTCCTGATCCGCCTGGTCCACACCAACAGCCGTAATCGTCATAAGAAAGACACAGAAGGCCTTTTGTTTGAACGTAAAAGTTCATAAGACGACATAATTGATTGAGACCAGCACAAATAGGTACAGTAAAAAAAAATAATGAACCAAATAAAATTAATAACGCGAACTTCATGATTCTAAAAAAAATTATTTTAGTTAAAACCCAGAAAAACTGAAATAAAAAATTGAAAATTTGAAATATTATAGGACGGGTGAATATAAAAAAGCAATTGCTTTAACTCAGTAGTTGGTCAGTTTTACGCGAATAAAAACTTCACCAAATTTCCTCAAATTTTTATTAACGTAAAGCTGAGCAATTACTCAGCGTTTTTGGAGCAAATTGCTTAACTTTACGTTACTATCAAATTTGAGCTATTTTACTCAAATTTTTATTCACGTAAAGTTGAAATTACTCCAAAAACGTTTTTTTTTTTATTCACCTTTCATCAGAGTAAAAACGTTTTTTTTAAAAAAAAAAAGATTTTAGTTTTTACTTTGAATTATTAGAACATCTGAGATTAAGAATTTAATATTTTCAATAAATATATTTATAAAGAATTTATTACTGACAATAATATATCTATAAAGAACTAATTATTGTCAATAAATAAAATTATCTATAAAAATACCTATATATGCACCATCAAAATAAAATATTTTATAAAACCGTGTCAGTTGATATACTCAGATATAAAAATAATAAATATATAAAAATGTCAATCAAACTGAACAATAAAATTGTGCACGTAAACAACGGAAGTTAAAATTATTTGGTAGAGTTAAAGGTTAGGTACACGCATCATTACGTATTGATTATAATAATTAAAAATGAAAGTACTTCTTTAATCGTATTTTTATTTCATTCGTGCAAAAAATCAAAGTGACAAGTTAACTCACCTCCATAATAAAATTTAAGTATTTTTAAGTTTTTACAAAGCAATCTTAAAATAATTCGCCTCAAGTCAAACTTATATATAAAGCACACAAAAAATATTTTTAATTTTTATTTCACAGTGACGTTTAAATACAAAAAATATTTTTAAATCTTCCTTTATATCTGGTTAAAATATTGGAATCATTAGTGTTGCAAATTTTATATTTTTAACATTTTTTTTACAAAAGATTTTACTAACTTTAACCCACAACATTTTAATGTGATTCATCTATTTATTTATTTGTTTATTTTTTATATTTTACTGAATATTTTTATATTTTACTGAATACATACGGGCAATTTCATTTTTAACTTACGTTACACGCGCAACAACTTTATCAAATATTTGCCTCAAATGTAAAAAATTTGTATGAAAATCTCAAATGTAAAAAATTTGTATGAAAGCTGTTAGTCTAAAAAAAAAAATAGGCTAAAAAGTTTTGAGTCTGGCCAAAAGAGGGTGAATTTATTACTGAAAATGCCACTTAACTTACGTTACACAGACAACAAGGTAAAAAAATTGCTTCAACATTTAGATCAGATTTCTGCGAAACAGTAAAGCGGTTTTTATTAAAGACTTTTGCAAGATGTTTAGAATTCCATATTTATTTATAAAATATATAAAAATTTATCAGAGGTGACCGGCTAAATAAAATAAACTGGTTTTTGGATACTATATATTTAACTTACGTTACATCACGTACGTTATCGAGCAATTATTATCGTGGAATTTTTATATCTATTATTAAGAGTTAGTGTTACGTAACAAAAGAATTGCAAAGTTCTGAACTCATTCATTAAAAATATTTAACAAAGGAAATTTTAAAAAAACTAGTGTCTCTCTCTTCCTGAGTGATTTTTCATAACATTATTTTTCAGATATTACACATAAAACCACTCTTGATCGATTTTAAAAAGAATTTAAACGGTTTGAATGTTTCTTTTAAATAAAGTAAAGCTCAAATTAAAAATCAAGTTAACTTAAAAAAAAAACAATTTTTTTAAAAGAATGTTATTATCACAATAACCATAACAAAGTTTATTAATAATCTTACTCTCTTAATATAAATATATGTACAATATCTCTTTTTTTTTTTTCATCCTATTTTTTTTAATTTATTACAAGTATATAACCGTTTTTTTGCAACTGCAGATATTGTAAGCATTTTAGCAATTACTAATTACTAATTTGTATATTTACGCCAATATTTATAAATCACGATTTTATAAAAATGGGGCTCGGTGATAAGAATTATGTCTTCTTCTTGCTCCAGCCATATTTTGTTTTATATACTTATTTTGTTGTATATATATAAAAATTGTATTTATTGTAGAAGGCGAAATAAACATATTTATAAAAAAAAAAAAATATTTATGAAAGTTATCAAATCGAAAACAGTTTTATCCGCAAGACCAAGAGCAACTCTAAAAAATTATTTTACAACCTTACTAATACTTGAGCCATTTATATTAAAAATTTTTGGTCGTCGAAGTTTTTACTCACACTTCTTACGTTTATGCGTATAGCCTTATTTTTTCATTAGGTTGAATTTTTAAAATGCTGCAAAATATTTACATTTAAATCTTCTATAATATTTTTGTCATAAAAACTACTATTGCAGTTTAGGAGAGAGAGGGGTTCAGGTTATGTGATTGTTTGTGACCGGAGGGAAGGAGTTAAGAATTGAAAAATATAGGGTGACATCCCTATTGAATTGAGGGGGGGTCATCATGATCCCCTTGATTGCATTTACAAACGATTTGTTTTATTGAAACGATTTGTTTTACTGAAACAAAAAGGTTTTAACTGATTTTTTTATATTAGAAGAATATTAAATTAGAAGAATAGCAAATAAATCTTTTTTTTTTTTTTGAATGTCTATTTATATAATTCTTATTTTTATTTATTTAGGTATATTTATATGTCAACCAAAATAAGAATACATTAACAAATAAAAAAAAAACAATAATATAAATAATTTAATTAACATTAAAAAAATATAAAAAAATTATTTTCTTAAATCTCCTAATATGGACCTTGTCCAATATAAGAATTAATCAATGACGTAATTTATTTTGTTAACGAAAAAGCGCCAGAACTTTAGTAAACGCGTGTAGTTTTATTTTTTGTTACACAATTTTTTTTTTTAAAAAGTGCTTTAATTAAGCACCGTTATTTAAAACTTTAAATGTAAAAACGTGACATTAATATTTTATTATATTCATATAATATTAAAAAAATTTAGTTTTTAAACTAAATTTTGAAAAAAACAAAACTTGATCATGTTTTCGTTAACTTACGTTACATGAAAATTGCAAACGTTCTTTCGTTATTTTCTTGAAATATATATATCTTGTAAAGTATATAATCTGACCAACAACAATTTGAACATGTTAGCTCCATTTCTACGATAATTTAATTCCGATTATGCAAATAGTTTGTTTTTTTTCGTTTTTTTTCAGTTTACATTATTTACATGTCGTGATTTCCATGTAATATAAACATATAAACTTGAAATCTGGAAGAAGATCATATCGATCTTGTTGCCGGAACCATATAAGAATTACAATATAAATATAATATAGTATAATACAGGTAGTTTATAACAAAATAAGAATCCAAAACATTTGAAATAAGAAATGGTTAAAATAATATCTCAAAAATGTTTCAATATATTATCCGTAGAAAAAATAATATTCTTTAACTTGTTTTTAAAAACAGAAAAAGAGATAGATGAATCTAAATTAGGCTGTACAATTTTATTCCAGATATAAGGTGCTCGATAATCTATACAAAATTGATTAAACTTTGTTTGACAAAAGGGTTCTTTTAAATAATTATTATTTCGCAAACTATATTTATTCTTTACTTTAAAGGTAAATAGATCTTTAAAAACATGATATAAGAGGTTGTTCATACAACAAAACGTAAAACATAAAATATTGTACAAGTTAAGTTCATAAACATTTAATACATTCATATATTTAAATAGAGGTTTTGTATTTGAAAAACGATTTAAAAAATATATTATTCGCATTGCATGTTTCTGATGGCGGTAAAGACGTTGCAACTTACTTTTACCTGTACTTCCCCAGGCAATATTTGCATAGTTTATATAGCTATGAATAAATGAGTAGTATAGTTGTTATAAATTATTTTTATTTAGATAATTTCTGGCCTTATAGAGGATACCAATACTTTTCGCAACTTTTGTTGATATATAATCAATATGAGCTTTCAATGTCATATTTTCGTCAAGATAAATACCTACAAATTTTAAAACGGAATTTCTTTTTTATTTCTACTTCGTCAATGTAAATAGTTAAAATAACATTTTACAATGATACTTTTTTTATTATGAGACAATGAGAAAAACCGTAACTTTCGGAAGCATAAAAATGATTTAAATAAATTTTAGTATTAAAGGTATATGTTACATAAAATTTCATGTATCTACATCAATATTCATTTGCTAAAAGTTGACCAAAAAGAGAATAAAATTTGACTGCTTTATCATTTTCCGCCGTGGAATTGCCCATTTATGTATATATATATATATATATATATATATATATATATATATATATATATATATATATATATATATATATATATATATATATATATATATATATATATATATATATATATATGTATGTATTGATTACATATATGTATTGATAATGTATGTAAATGATAGTTGTACATATATGTATTGATAACATATATGTATTGATTTCATACACATATATTTTTTTTACTAAATATACAGTTTTACATAGGTTTTTATTAAATAAAAAATCTCTCATATACTACAAGGTAATTTTAGCAACTTTGTTTTTGTATATAATCCTTTTATACCTAAAATAAAGCATACATATCGTTGTCCTGTAGATATACATCTAAAGCATACATATCGTTGTTCTGTAGATATACATCTAAAGCATACATATCGTTGTCCTGTATAAATACATCTAAAGCATACATATCGTTGTCCTGTAAATATACATCTAAAGCATACATATCGTTGTCCTGTAGATATACATCTAAAGCATACATATTGTTGTCCTGTAGATATACATCTATCACGTATATCCTGTACATGTATCTATAATATAAAAAATAAAAAATTTGTGGAATATTATAGCGTAACGAAATAATAAAAAATAATGACACTAATAACCTATTATGGCAAT